GCTGTGCCGCCCCCGGTGCCCCCCCGCCGTCCGTCCCTCTCTCCGCAGGCCGGGAAGCTGGAGCCGAAGCTGGTGCTGGACCAGTTGCGTTGTAATGGCGTCCTGGAGGGCATCCGCATCTGCCGCCAGGGCTTCCCCAACCGCATCCTCTTCCAGGAGTTCCGGCAGCGGTGAGCCTAGGCAGGGCCGCGCTGGGGGAGGTTCGGAAGCCATTGCACCTGCGTCCCACCTCAGCCCCCCTGGCCCCATCCCCGCGGTACTCACCCTGCGGAAGCGCAGCCGCTCAGTGCACCGGGGGAAAGCGCCCAGAGCGCTAAGGCGGCCTCAAGCCGCCACACTATGAACACGTAATCACCAGGGCCAGCGGCAGTCTGCACCTCTTTGAAAACCAAGTAGAGGAGGCCAGCAGATGGCATGTTGGTTATGTCGCTGGACTCCCACATGGCTGACTGCGGTTCAAGTCCTGGACCCGGTGGCTTGAAAATCATGCTGGACGCACGTGTGTGTGTGTGTGGTTGGGTGTGTGTGTGTAAATCCTGAGAGGACAATAGAAGAGAAGGGATTAGAGTGTGGCCATCCCTCTTGGGGGGGCTGATCTCTCACTTTCCCTCTGTCTCTCTCCTCTCCAGTGAGTGCACGTGCCCATGGCAAAAACCAGAAAAAGGAAAAACAAAGCAGATAAGGCTAGAACAGAAAATGTCAGTCTAGTAAGCAAATACCACGGCAGTACTGTGACAAAGACGCTGCTGCGTGCAAGTGCGGATGCGGCCAGTCGGGCCAGCCGGGGTGGTGAGGGCCGCCCGACCTCGCACGCTGACTCCGCGGGTCAGGTCCCAGCAGGCAGTGCGAGAAGCGTACCTGGCAGGTGTGGGTGTGTGCTCCCCAAATCCCAGGAGAATGAAGGCGATGGGATTGTGGATTGCAACATGCCCCCCCATACTTTCTTATATCCCCCTCACTTCTCTCTGGTGAGCACACCCTCCCTATAGCAGTTAAAAAAAAAAATAAGAAAGAGAAAAGAATGTGAGCTACATTTGCATTTGAAAAGTTTTAGTAGCCACACTTAAAAAAGTGAAAAGAGGGGCCAGCAGGTGGTGTGGTAGTTGAGGTGCTGGACTCCCGCTGGTCAGCTGTGGTTTGGTCTTGTACCTGGCATCTTGAATATTGTACCAGATGTGTGCATGCGTGCCCCAAATCCCAGGAGGAGAATGGAGAAGGGATTCTGGCACGGCCATCCCCCACAAGGGTGATTTCTCACTTTTCCTTTCACTGTTTCTCCAGTGAATACATCCACCCTATGGTAAAAACCTTTTTTAAAAATTTAATTAAAAATAAAAAGTCAAAAGAAATAGACAAGGAACAGCCCTGTCACCTAGTGGTTGAGGGAGCAGGATTCCACATGGCCGACTACAATTAGAATCTCGGCTCTGGTGGCTTGAAAAATCACGCTGGGCTCCTGTGCATGCATGCCCCAAATCCTGACAGGATGGGGGTGGAGGAGGAGGGATGTCAGCAGGACCACACCCCGCACAGGTGCTTTCTCCCTCTTTCTCTGTCTTCCCTGGCGAGCGCACATGCCCTCTGAGGGAGGAGGCAAATTTAATTTCAACGAAATATTTAATCCAGTGCATCAGAATAGCAGATAATGTAAAAACTTTTTTAATTGTTTATTTAATTTTATTTATTATTATTTTAATTTGCTACAAGGCATGTACATTCAAAAGACAGAGAGCATGAGACTAACAAAGAGAAGGGAAGTGAGAAAGCAAGCCACCAGGTCTAGGACTTGAACCTCAGTTAGCCATGTGGGAGTCCAGTGCCTTAACCACCACGCCACCTGCCAGCTCCCTACCAGATATTGCTAACGTGTGATCAATATTTTAAATTATTTATGAGATACTTTACACTCTTTTCTTCCTGCCGAGTCTCAGAAATTCAGTATCTTGTGCTCACAGCACATCTCAGTTCAGGCACTAAATTCCAGTGAGCGAAAGAAAATGTCGTCCTATCAAAACAACAAAGTTGGTTTAACAGGAAAATGTTAGAAACTGCTTCTGTTTTGAAATTTAAATTTCACTTATTTAAAATTAAGTACAATCAGAAATCCAGTTCCTCAATCATGCATGCCCTTGTCAAGAACTCAGTAGTTGCAACGCACGCATGCAGGAACACACACCCAATGGGATTCCGAAAAGATCATGAAGTGGGATGAAAGTACTAACTTATGTGGTCAGCAGGTGGCGTAGTGGTGACATTGCTGAACTCCCACATGACTGACCACAGTTGAGTCTCGGACCCAGTGGCTTGAAACTCACGCTGGGCGCATGTGCATGTGTGCTGAAGATCCCAAGGGGAAAAAGGAGGAGAAGGGATTGTGGCATGGCCACCCAGGAGGTGATTTATTGCTTTCTATCTCACTGTTTCTTTCCCTCTCTTTGGCAAACACAAGCACCCTAAGGCAAAACGTTCTAAAAAATTTTAAAAAGGAAAGAAAGTACTAGTTTATTTCAATGCAAAAAAATGTTTATTTATTTAGGGACCAGCAGTTAGTGTAACAGCTATGTTGCTGGACTCCCATGTAGCTGTCTGTGGTTTGAGTCCCAGACCCAGTGGCTTAAACTCACGCCGGGCGCGTGTGCGTGCGTGCCCAGGATCCCAAGAGGAGAATGGAGAAGGGATTGCAGTGTGGCCATCCCCCCTGGGGAGTGATTTCTCACTTTCTGTCTCTCTGTCTCTCTCTGTGTTTCTGGCGAGCACACATGCTCTATAGCAAAAACCTTTCCAAAAAAAATTATATATATAGCAAAAAAATTTTGATCCATTTGCATAGTATTTGCCTATGTGTATTTCCCGCAGACTTGATGAGGACTCCGTGGTGTGCATGTTGTATGTATCACATACGTTATTTTATATAGAATGTCACGATCTGCGGAGATGGAATGGGGGGCCAGGAGCTCTGCAGACGGACGGGTATGTGTCTGTCAAACACATTATCCCGAAATGTACTCAGAAACTCGAAGGAAACCTCTGGAAAGCTTGAGCTCAGGCCCTGGCACAGGGTGGCCGTGCCGCCATCCCCTCCACTCGTCTCCTCTCGGGATTTGGGGCATGCACGTGCACCTGGCATGTTTTTCAAGCTGCTGAGTCCAGGATATGAACCGTGAAGTCAGCCACGTGTTATCCATCCACCTTGACCTCCGCACCACCTGCTGGCCCGTGTTACCGCTTTTGCTAGAGTTACCCCTGTGATCACTATTTGTCACTCTGAGCCCAGCATCTGACTGTGGCAGGCACCCAGGGTTTGTCGTAACTGCCCGGCCCCACCCTCGCCCACCACAGGTACGAGATCCTGACGCCCAATGCCATCCCCAAGGGCTTCATGGACGGGAAGCAGGCCTGTGAGAAGATGGTGAGTGTGGACGGGGCTGCAGGAGTGTGCATGAACGAGGCCCAGGGGTGGAGGAGGGACGCTGGGATCGCCTGCCCGCCATTCCTCCCCCTTCATCCCCTCTCTTCCCGTCACCTCTCCTCACAGATCCAGGCCCTGGAACTGGACCCCAACCTCTACCGTGTGGGACAGAGCAAGATCTTCTTCCGAGCAGGAGTCCTGGCCCAGCTGGAAGAAGAGCGGGACCTGAAGGTCACGGACATCATTGTGTCCTTCCAAGCAGCTGCCCGGGGATACCTGGCTCGCAAGTAGGGGACCTCGCTGTCTCCCAAGGCTTGCTGGTTCAGGCCGGGTCAGGAAAGGGATGACTGGATGGCCCCAGGTGTCAGGGCCTCCAGGATGGTGGGAGGGCTGAGAAACAGGTGGAGGGAGCCACCGGGTGCTCAGGCTTCTTGGTTCTACAGTGGTATTTGGTGGGCACCAGTGCCAGGCCATGAGCTAAGTGGTCCTGGAGACCCAGAGGAGCTAGGTCTGGCCATAGGGTGACCAGCCATCCCAGGACCGGTGTCCCAGGATGTCGGACGCTAGTGCCAAAACAGAGAAGGCCCAGGGAAAACCAGCTGGGGTTGCTCGCCCTCCCGGGCAGTGCCTCAGAGGACTCCAGCCTGGGGAGGAGGGAGACACACGTGTGCAGCGACAGTCTGGGCTGAGACGCGCTTTGGGGAAGATCATAGAGGTGCAGGAAGGAGGCCCTGCCGCAGGCAAGACACCCCAGGCCACACCTGACAAGCGGGTGGGCAAAGGAGGTCGGGAAAGGTGATCCAGCAGGACAGGCAGCTGTGCAGACCCAGTGGTGGGCGAGCCTGGGGCATCTCCGGAACCAGGGACTTTGTGGGAGGTCTCCTTCCTCCAGGGAATAAAGAGAATAGCAGGAAAGAATGCCCCAAATACCAGGCTGGGGTGGGGGCCTAGGCCAGGGGTGCTGGGGAGCCTTGGGAGGCAGCGAGTAGGGGAGGGGCGGTGTAGAAAGACCCTCTGGAGTCTGGAGCTGTGGGGCCGGGGAGGAGTCTGGGGGAGGACTGCCCGAGCTGGGGCTGTGGGGCCGGGGAGGAGCCTAGGGGGAGAGTCTGGCTGTGGGAGGACCAGCCTGAGCCGGGGCTGTGGCTGTGGCTGTGGGGCAGGCACAGGGAGACAAGGGCAGAGAACCACCGGGCTGAACGCATGACCTGGTGCCCGGAACAAAGCCTGCACACAGTGGGTGTTCAGTAACGTCCACCTCCCCAGGGCCTTCCAGAAGCGGCAGCAGCAGCAGAGTGCCCTGCGGGTGATGCAGCGGAACTGCGCGGCCTACCTCAAGCTGAGACACTGGCAGTGGTGGCGGCTCTTCACTAAGGTGCGGCGGCTGGGGGAAGTGGCCTGCGCGGTGAGGAGGACCTCGGGGGTTGGCCTGCCTGGACAAGTGACTTCCTCCATCTGGGCCTCCGTCGTCTGCATCTGTGGCATGCGGCCGGTCAGCCCAGCCTTCATTAGCTAGGATGCTTTGGGTAGCAAGTGATGGAAAAAATCTGACTCAAACCAACAGATAAAAGACAGCTTCCCGTGCAGCTGGATCCAGGGCTGAGTCGGGGCCTCCGAGACCAGCCTCAGGGTCAGTGAGATGCGCTGGTGATGCGCTGGAGGGACTCACGGCATGTAGAAAAGCCGTTGTATTCACAGTAGGTACAATAACAAGACACAGAATCAGCACAGGTACAAGGTGGTAAGGCAGGGTCCAGGGGAGACGGTGTGAGCCCCCGCCACCCTCTCCCAGTGCACTTGTCGCTCCCCAGCAACGACAGGTGATAACTCACCCCGGGGACTCACGAGGGCAGCTGCCCTGAGCCTCAGTGTGGGGACTGTTACTGGACGTGGCACGCACCTGACACAGCAGGTCAGACAGACCTCAGGGCCTAAGGCCACCCGTAAGTCAGTGTTAGCGTAGACACCTGGCGTGGCTTGACTCCCAGGGAAACAGAGGCTCCCGGACAGAACATTCCGGGGCTTAGAGTTTCCCTCCCAGGAGCCTGTCACAGGCCAGCTCTTTCTCTCGAATGTGCAGGGTTTGGACAACCCAGCTATTAGCCTCTCCCCTCCCCGCACAAGGGTCCGTCCGCCTTTGCTCCTGGTCTATCACCTCGAGATCACACTCGCCCCTCGCCCGACTTGGTCTCCTCTCATCTCAGAGTTCGGCCAGATTCTCTGGGTTCACCCTCGTTGGTCCTGCTGGAGTCATGTGACCACCTCAGCATCAGTTTATGTGTGTCAGAAGAGGCAGGCTGGCATCTGTGCCCATCCAAAGCACAGGGTCCGAGCAGGTCATCAGCCCCATTAGGACTCAGAGCAGTGTGTTTCTCCTGGGGAAAGTGGGGAGGAGGAAGGGAGGTGGAGGTCGGAGGGTGAAAGCACTCTTTTCAATGCAATTCTTGTTTTTTTTTTAGTTTAAATATCTTAATTGACTATTCTAGAATTGACCAACATTTCATTCCAAAAAATAGGATGTGTTGGTTGGGAACCAGCAGTTAGCGTAATGGCTTTGTCGCTGGACTCCCACGTAGTCAACTGCGGTTCGTGTCCCAGACCCGGTGGCTTAAAACTCACGCCGGGCGCGTGTGCGTGCGTGCCCAAGATCCCGAGAGGAGAATGGAGGAGAAGGGATTGCGGCGTGACCATCCCCCCTGGGGGGTGATTTCTCGCTTTCTGTCTCTATGTCTCTCTCTGTCTGTCTGGTGAGTGCACGTGCCCTACAGTGAAAATCTCTAAAAAAAAAAAAAAAAAAATAGGATGTGTTGGGACCAGCAAGTGGCGTACTGGTTAAATTGCTGGACTCCCACATAGCCGACCACAATTTGAGTCCTGGACCTGGCAGCTTAAAACTCACGCCAGGCACGTGTGCATGCCCACAATTCCAAGAGGAGAATGGAGGAGAAGGGATTGCGGCATGACCATCCCCCCTGGGGGGTGATTTCTCGCTTTCTGTCTCTCTGTCTATCTCATGCATGTACCCTATAGCAAAAATCTCTCCTTAAATAAAAAATAGGATTTATTCCCCCATGCAATCCTTAATACAATGTCTGAGAGGTCAGCCCAATTCCCCCAGCGTGTTGAGTACCTACTATGTCCCAAGATCTTTCATGGGGGTGAAGGCTAAAACAGCAAATAAACCAGTCAAAGCCCTGCCTTGGAGCCCTCGGTCTGAGGCAGTAGCTGGTTCACTGTGGCCAGTGAGGAGTTAGTCCTCACGGCTCGTGAAGTATCGCTGTCGTACCCTCGGTCTTGGCAGGGTAGCTGTGGGCTGTGGCTCCACGAGTCTCGAAGGAGAGTCACAGGACACTGTGCTGCCTGCCGTCGTAGTGCGGGGGACGGTGACAGGTGCAGACGGGAGCACGGACTCAAGCAGGCCTGGCAGAACCAAGTACGAAACAACACAACAGAGATGCCCGCTTGGTGGGGGCGGGTGGTTTTCAGTTGTGCGTGTGTGAGGCACGCGCACCTGCCACCTGCCCCGGATCTAACAATACAAAGCACATCTCTACTGCGGCCCTTGAGAACTACAGAAGAGCAGCAGTTTGGGCTGTGGAGGGTTCACATAGGGAACGAGCCCAGCATTGCCGGGGGTCTGCCACATCCCTGCCACTCTTTGTAGTGGTGCATCACTTCGTCCAAGTGGGGAGTAATGTTCCCGTGACAGACTGGGCACTGCCTGCAGGGGCCATGGAGCCAGTAGGTGGAGAAGTTGGGATTCCATCCCAGGGACTATGGTCCCACTAGGAGAGAACCCTTAGCCACTGGGCCAGCGGAGCTCCCAGCTTGGGAGCCAGCCATCTCACCATCTTCCACTGCCCTCTAGGTGAAGCCTCTGCTGCAGGTGACACGTCAGGATGAAGTGCTGCAGGCACGGGCGGAGGAGCTGCAGAAAGTGCAGGAGCTACAGCAGCAGAGTGCCAGGGAAGTGGGCGAGCTCCAGAAACGCATGGCACAGGTGAGGGGCGGAGCCATGGGTAGGGCCAGGACTTAAGAGAGGCTGCAGTGGAGCCAAGGCAAGAACTGCAGTGCACTGGATGGGGCTATGGCATGAGGGGGGGTCATGGGTGGAGTCAGGGCATGAGAGGCGGGGCTGTGGGTGGAGCCAGGACATGAGAGGCGGGGCTGTGGGTAGAGTCAGGGCGTTAGGGGTGGAGCTGGGGGTAGAACCAGAGCATGAGAGGTGAGGCAATGGGTGGAGTCAGGGTGTGAGAGGTGGGGCTGTGGGTGGAGTCAGAACATGAGAGGTGGGGCTGTGGATTGAACCACAGTATGAGAGGTGGGGCCAGGGCCTGATGGTCAGGGCTAGTTGAGCCAGCATGTGCTTGAGCAGACTAAGCTGTGTGGAGAGAAGCGGGTTGCAGGATCACGGTGTCTCCGGTCTGAGCACTGAGCCATGAAGTGCAGGGAGTCGGGCTCCGAGGGTGTAGCCAGAGACTTGGGTGGAGTGGGCATGTCCCAGAGAGCCAGGATGCTCTGGAGCTGGGCTTTGGGACTTGGGGGCAGGGCTGTGGCAGGTAAACAGTGGACTTTCAATTGTTTTCAATATTTCTGCTGTCTTAAAATGATGCTGTAGCAGACCTTTTAAGTGTTTTTCTGTTTGCTTTTTTTGAATTATTTCATTTGGTTAAATTTCTAGGCGTAGGAGAGTACGTAAGATGCAGGATGATAGAAGAGACCGCTGGGGTTATTGGAGGCTGGGAGGCTGGGGCGAGAGTCCAGGAGGGAGAGGATGAGACCTGAGCCTGCTGGGCCTGTGGGGAGAGAGGAGGGGCCAGGGCAGAGAGGGCCAGGGCCAGGACTGATAAGCTGTGGGGAGATGAGGGAGAGGGAGACACCCAGGAGGCTCAGTCCATGGTTGAAGGGAGGAGCAGGCTGGGAACTGTCTCCTACCTCACTCTCCCTTCCAAGGCCTGGAGAGGGACAGAGCAAGTTAGGGGATGAGGGCCTGGGTGGCACTGCACCGAGGGCAGCCCTGGAGCCACCGCCTGCTGACCACTGTCCTCCCACCCTGCTGCAGCTGGAGGAGGAGCGCACTCACCTGGCGGAGCAGTTGCGAGCAGAGGCAGAGCTATGTGCTGAGGCAGAGGAGACACGGGGGCGGCTAGCAGCCCGCAAGCAAGAGCTGGAGCTGGTGGTGTCGGAGCTGGAGGCTCGCGTGGGCGAGGAAGAGGAGTGCAGCCGCCAGCTGCAAAGCGAGAAGAAGAGGCTGCAGCAGCACATACAGGTCTGGCCCCTGCATGCCTCCCAGGGCACCTCCTCCCCACATCCTCCAACTACCCTAACCACCTTTGTTTCTGCAAACCATGTCTCACTTGGCCACGAATTTGCAGAAAAGGCAATTCTAAGTGACTTAAGTGAAACTAATACTTTTCTGGTTCTAATAAGGGAAACTCTGGAATGGATAGGCTTCAGGCATGGCTGGATCTAGGCGTTCAAAGGATGTCCTCATACTCTGCATCTCTCCATCTCTGGTGCCTTCTGCCTCTGTGCTGCACCTGTGGGCAGGCTGCTCTCCCACGATGGCCCTTCAGAATCCACTGTGTGTCGTACACTATGGCACTATTTGGCCTTATTAGAGGCCAAATCGCCACTGGAAATACTGGATCTGTATTTCTGTCTTTTTGGCTTTTTTTTAAAAAGAATTATTTATTTAATTTTATCTATTCATTCATTTTATTTTAATTTGACCAGAGAGAGATGCACACACACACACACAGAGAAAGGGAAAGTGAGAAAGCAAGCCACCGTGTCTGGGACTTGAACCGTGGTTGGCCATGTGGGAGTGTCCAGCACCTTAACCACCATGCCACCTGCTGGTCCCTTGTATTTCTGTTTTATAACGTCTCCAGTTTAAAAAGTGGATTCATGGGACCAGCAGATGGTGTACTGGTTACATCTCTGGACTCCCACGTAGTCGACCATGGTTTGAATCCTAGACCCTGAGGCCTAAACTCATGCGAGGTGCATGTGCATGCGTGCCCATGATCCCAAGAGGAGAATGGAAGAGAAGGGATTGCAGTGTGGCCATACCCTGTGGGTGATTTCTTGCTTTCTGTCTCTCTGTCGCTGTCTTTCTGGTGAGTGCACGCACCCTATAGCAAGAACCTCTCGAAAAAAAAAAAACAAAAGCAAACAAACCAAAAAGTAGATTGGCTTACCCAAATTGTTCGAAACACACTTAGCACATTTTCTTGTGATGGTGTACTTTTAAATCTAAAATAAGTGCCATCGAACGAACTAGAAAACTGTTCCTCTGCCACACTGGCCACATGGCCAGAGCTCAGTGGTTTCTTAGTAAGTTGCTCTGCACCTATTGGTGATGGAGGGATCCTGCTGTAAGGTCATGGGGTGGCCAAATACACAACATCCGGGACTGCACAGGTGAGATTGACAGCAGCTTGCGTGTTAGTAACACGGACAGCCCACGGCAGCAGGCTCACGCCATGGGCAGCCATTGGCTGGGCCAGGGCTTGCCTTGAGTGCAGTGAACGGGCAGTGCTATGGGAACAGGCTCTGTAGTAACAGGAGGGAGAGCTGGCCCCTGGTTGCTGGGGGAAGATATGGTTGGTTGGTTTGAATAGTCCCATGGGTAACGGGCCAGCAGATGGCGTGATGAGTAATTCCACGAGCTGACAGGGAGCCAAAATGTACTTCCAGGGCTGAGCAGGCACTGTGCCTGGTCCTCACTGTAAGGAGGGTACACTGATTGGGAGACTTTATTTGTGGGGACAGAGCAAGGGGGGGACTTGTGGTCGGGCCATCTGAGCCCTCCCTCTTTGGCCGAATGTCAAGGCTACAGACTGCTGATTCACAACCTCCAGTGTGCCTGCGACCACCACAGATGGCCCGTCTGTGACCTGTGGACTTAGATATTTGGTGCGTGTAACCTGCACCCACGCCCCCAGCACACGGGCAAGGGTGGGCGGGCTAGGGGTTTTTATCTGTTCTCGGTGCCTAGGACAGTGTGTGACTCACTGGGAACTCGGTAAGTGCCCATGAGCTAGTGCGTGGACTGGGAAGACCAGCTCCTCGCCCAGCACGCCGACCTACCTGAGCCCTGAGCCCTGGGCCCTTAGACTACCCTTCCTGTCATCCTTGGTTTACCCCTGCCCTCTCTTCTCCAGGAGCTCGAGACCCACCTCGAGGCCGAGGAGGGGGCCCGTCAGAAGCTGCAGCTGGAGAAGGTGACGATGGAAGCAAAGCTGAAGAAGTTCGAGGAAGACCTGCTGCTTGTGGAGGACCAGAACGCCAAGCTGAGCAAGGTCGGTGCCGCGAGCAGCTGGGGGGTGGTGGGGAACCCTGGCAGGCCGGCCGTGGAGCAGAATAAGTTCCTGGGGGTCCGTGAGCAGAAGCCGGACAGCCAGCAGGGAAACGGGCAAAGAGCAGCGGCAGGCAGTCCCCGAGGAGCAGGTGGAAATGAAGGCGTGAGGGGATAGGTGCGCGGTCACTAGTCACGGAGGGCAGGAGAAGCGAAATCTCATTTCAGGGTCTAGGCGGTGGCATCGTGGTAGTGCAACTGGACCCACACAAGCAAGGTCCTGGGCTCGTGTCCTGGCACCTCCCTGAGCACGCCAGGTGTGCGAGTCATGCCTGCCATCCAGGCCAGCTGAGGCGAGGGGCAGAACACAGCGTGTGAACCCTGTGGGTACTTGTGGCCCTCCCTGTCTCATGGGAGAACGAAAGAAGTAAATGTTTAGTCATCACATTTCACACTCACCAGATTAGCAAACATGTCTAAGTTAAAGAATGCCATGAGCTGGTGAGGATAAGCTGCATGAGCTATTTTGGAGAGGAATTTGGCGATCTTCAAAAAAGTTGGGGGTGTGTATTCTATGTCACTCAAGAATTCCGCTTGCAGGTATGTGTTCTATGGTGGCCCAGTCTAATACAAAAGCCACTTGCTACCCTAACTATTTAAAAATTTTTATTTACTCATTCATTTTATTTTAATTGGACCAAAGAGAGACAGAGAGACAGAGAGAGAGAGAGGGAAAGTGAGAAAGCAAGGCACCAGGTCCAGTACTCGAACTTTGGTTGGCCATGTGGGAATGTCCAGCGCCTTAACCACCACACCACCTGCTGGTCCCAGCTACCCTAGCTATTTAAATTTATGCTGATTTACTTGAAATATAAAATTTAAAATTTAGGGGACCAGCAGTTAGCGGAATGGCTATGTCTCTGGACTCCCACGTAGTCGACCGTGGTTCATGTCCCGGACCCGGTGGCTTAAAACTCACACCAGGCGTGTGCGTGCGTGCCCAAGATCCCGGGAGGAGAATGGAGGAGAAGGAATTGCGGCATGGCCATCCCTCCAGGGGGGTGATTTCTCGCTTTCTGTCTCTCTGTCTCTCTCTGTCTGGTGAGCACACGTGCCCTATAGCAAAAACCTCTAAAAAATTTTTTTTTTAATTTAGATTCTCAATCTGTGTTCACATGGCTACTGATTACCATATTGAATAATACAGGGATAAAAATTTTTTTTAATTATTATTTTATTGGGATCAGCAGGTGGCATGGCAGTTAAGAGCATTAGACTCCCGCACGGCCGACTGTGCTTTGAGTCCCGGACCTAGCAGCTTGCTTTCTCACTCTCTCTTTCTCTTTATCTCTGTCTCCATCCAGTCAAATTAAAAAATAACAAATAAAATTAAATTAATAAATATTTTTTAAAAAGAATTATTTTATTTAACTTTATTTATTTGGTTATTTTAATTTGACTAGAGAGGGACAGAGTAAGAGAGAGAGAGAGAGAGAGGGAAAGTGAGAAAGCAAGCCATTTGGTCCAAGACTCAAACCATAGTCAGCCATGTGGAATCCAGTGCCCTTAACCACCATGCCACCTGTCAGCCCCAGACTGATTTTTGAGAGAGAGATTTTCACAATAGGGCGTGTGTATTCACTCACCAGAGGGGCAGAGAGACAGAAAGCAAAAAATTACTCCCCAGTGGGGATGGCCACTACCCCTTCTCCATTCTCCTCTCAGGATCTTGGGCATGCAAGCACATTTGCCCAGCTTGAGTTTCAAGCTGCTAGGTCCAGGAGTCAAATAGCAGTCAGCTATGTGGGAGTCCAGTGCCTTGATCACTATACCCTCTGTAGGCCTCGCAGGGGTAGAACACTCTAATCCTTCCAGAAAGTTCTATTGCATAGTGTTGCTCTAAATGTCATGACTTTCTTGATAGTCATGCATAGGGATAAATAGTTGTACGTTGAGATCCAGGGCAGATGGAAACACTTGCATATGTACAACTGAGTCAAAAGTTTCACAAAGTACTCCTTACCCTTGATGTACGTATTAGATTTTTGCTGCAATAATGCTGCATAACAAATAGCCTCCCAAATCTCAGCAGCTTACAACAGCAACATTACTTTTCCATGAGTGCGTGTGTTGGCCGGACCCAGCCACAGGCAGTGGTGTATTCTGGAACCAGCACCAACTGAGGACCTGTCCTTCTTTCAGGTAGAAGGACAAAAGCTTGGCCAGACAAGTCCTCACAAGCACTTTTTTTTCCTTTAAAGGATTATTTATTTAATTTTATTTATTCTTTCTTTTTTTTCTTTTTTTTTTTCCTCTGGAGGGGTTTTTGCTATAGGGCGCATGCACTCATCAGAAAGACAGAGAGAGATGGAGACAGAAAGCGAGAAATCACCCCCCAGGGGGGATGGCCATGCCACAATCCCTTCTCCTCCATTCTCCTCTCAGGATCTTGGGCACGCACGCACATGCACCTGGAGTGAGTTTAAGCCACTGGGTCCAGAACTCGAACTGAGGTCAACTACATGGGAGTCCAGTGACATAGCCGTTACACCACCTGCTGGTCCCTCATTCATTTATTTTAATTTGACCAAAGAGAGAGAAAGAGAGAGAGAGAGGGGGAAGCCAGAAAGCAAGCCACCAGATTCAGGACTTGAACCATGGTTGGCTTTGTGGGAGTGTCCAGCGCCTTAACCACCATGCTGCCTGCTGGTCCCCACTCACAAGCACTTTTAAATCTGCTTTATTCACACCTACCAGCATTCCATTAGCTAATGTAAATCACACAGCCAAAACCAACCTTGAAGGAGCAGAAATTACATCCTACTGGCTTTAGTGGAGGACTCTACAAAGCAACATGGCCAAGGGCTTAGTTGCAGACAGCACAAATGGTTCCCAGTTTACAAGGTTCCACTTCACTATGGAGTGGGCTGCCATTCGTTTTATTTTGTTTTTTAAAAAAGAGACAGTGGGGCCAGCAGGTGGCATGGTACTTAAGATGCTGGACACCCACATAGCAAAGTGCTATTCAAGGCCTGGACCCAGCAGCTGGAAAATCACACTGGCACTTGTGCATGCATGCACTGAATCCTGAGAGAATGGAGGAGAGAACTGTGGCATGGCCATCCTCCTGGGGGTAATTTTTCACTTACACTGTCACTGTCTGTCTCCAGGGAGTTGCATGTGCCCTATGGCAAAAACCTTTAGAAAAGGAAAAAAGTGACAGTGACTTTGACTTAAAATAATAAAGATCACATTCTGTTGTTTTACTTTTGTACAGCAATACACTATATAAGATTTTCAACACTTTATTGAACAATGGGCTTCGTGTTAGGTGATTTTGCCCAACTGTAAGCTAATGTGAGTGTTCTGAACATGTTTGAGTGGGCTGGGAGAGGGCCAGGCATTGGTACCCTGTGAGGCTGACCCCCATCGGAAGGCTTCAGAGTCATGCCTGGAGAGTTCCTGAGCACTTGGGCATGTGAAAGCCCATGATTTGGGGCTGGCTGAGGCTGGGGGTGTAGTGATGTGCAGACGCTGCTCGAGAACTGTCTTTCTGTGGTCTCTCTCTCCCTCATGGAAGAAATAAATAAACTTTTCAAAAAGAAATGGGCCAGGACCCACAGGTGGTATGGTGGTTAAAATGCTAGACACTCCCAAAGGTTGACCACAGTTCGAGTCCCAGGTCTGGTAGCTTGCTTTCTCAGTTTCCCTCTCACTTTCTCTGTTTCTCTCTGGTCAAATTTAAAATAATAAATGAATGGATAAATTAAACATTTTTCTAAAAAATAAAAGAAATGGGCCTCACATTGGCAGGTGACATGGTGGTTAAGGGGCTGAACTCCCACATGGCCAACGATGGTTTGAGTCCTGGACCTGGGAGCTTGCTTTCTCACATTCTCCCTCTGTCTCTCTCGGGTCAAAATAATAATTTAATTTTTAAAATAATAATAATGATAAATAAAATTAAATAAAATAATTCTTTAAAAAAAAGAAAAGAAAAGAAATGGGCCATCAGATGGTACATTGGTTAAGGCACTGGGTCCCACATGGTCAACTGCACGGCTCAAATCCTGGACCGATTGGCTTGAGAGCCATGCCAGGCGAGTGTGCATGCATATCCAAATCCCAAGAGGAGCATGGAGAAGAGAGTGCGGTGTGGCCATCCCCTGGGGGTGACTCCTCACTTTCCCGCTCTCCTGTCTCCAGTGAGTGCACACACCCCATGGTAAAGTGAATGTAAATACAGAGGAAAAGAAGGAAATAAAGGAAAACCTTTTTTTAAAACAACAAAAAAAAGAAGAAGAAGAAGGCTAGGCTAAGCTGTTTGGTAGGTTGGGGCATTATGCGCATTTTTTACTTATTATGTATTTTCAACTTATAATGGGCTTACTGAGAAGTAACCGCACCAGAAGTTGAGAATCATCTGTCTTAACGAGGAGGGACTGAAGACTTGAAAAGCCGGTCTGTTATGGCTGTTACTGGACCTCTGACGTTTTCTGCCCTGTTCTAGTTCATCCCTTCAGAGACAGTGCAGTCCGCCTCACCGATTCCTAAACACTCACTGTTGGAAAGCGCCGTTCCAGGCTCGTGTTTCCAGACTGTAACGTGCGCACGACTCACACGGGGACCCTGTGGAGGTGCAGGTTCTGACTCCACTGGCCCGGGTGGAAAGCACGACTGCACTTGCGGCGAGCCCCCGTTTGGTGCCAGTGCTGCCGGGATTTCAGATTCTGAGACCAGCAGTTAGCTCACAGGAAAATGGAATTGAAGTACAAGTTTACGTGGTGCAGAAGAAAGCTGTGAAATTCATGTGTGTGTTTTTAAATGACTTCTTTAATTTTATTTATTTATTTTAATTTGACTAGACAGAGATAGAAAGAGAAAATGAGAAAGCAAGCCACCAAGTCCAGGACTTGAACCACAGTTGACCATGTGGGAGTCCAGCACCTTAACCACCACACCTCCTGCCGGCCCCCATGTGTGTTTTTTTTAAAAAATACACATTTTGGTGAACTTTTTGAAGACACTGCCCCTCACACTTTGGGGAAGAGCAGGGGCCCCAAACTCTCACATGATTGTAGCAGGTGGGCAAGGATGTTCGTTGCGGTGCCGTTTATGATGGCAATGATTGGCGGCAGCCTGGGTGTCCATCAGCGGAAGACGGGGTGGCGGGTGTGCACTCCGCATCAGGAGGTTACTGCCCGCCGTTGCAGGTGAGCGGTGGGCGGGTGGTCTGACAATGGCAGTGCAGGTGAGAACACTGAAGCTGCAGGTCAGGCAGTCGCCGCTCCCGGCCCAGCTCTGACGTGCCCTCCTCCCCACCCCATTGCCCCTCAGGAGCGGAGGCTGCTGGAAGAACGCCTGGCCGAGTTCTCATCTCAGGCTGCGGAGGAGGAGGAGAAGATCAAGAGCCTCAATAAGCTGCGGCTGAAATACGAGGCCACGATCGCAGACATGGAGGGTACGCAGCGCACCCCCCCCCACCCTGGGTCCAGCCAGGAGCCGAGTGGTCTGTGCCTACTCGGCTGGGGGCTTGGGCAAGCCTCCTCGGCCCTGGGGCCTCAGTGGTCGCATCTGCTAAGTGGGATGGGAAAGGAGGGACTCTGACTCACTGTCTCTCCTTGGGTCCTGGGCGAATATCGCCTCCCCGGGCCCCCATTGACCATGTTTCAGACTCGTCTCTTGTCCCTTGCTGATGTAGATTCAGAGGCAGAAGGATGCAAAGAGGAGGCAGGGCTGGGGGCGGAGGCCTGGGCTGACAGCAGGGTGAGGAGGGCAGTGCCCGGGTGTCTAGGAGGACAGTGGGCAGCTTCCGAGGTGGGGTGCCGTGAACTCAGCCTGGTATGTGGCGAGGGCCACGTGGTGTGGTGGGCACTGCCAGGCGTGGGGCTCTGCAGCCGCCAAACATGGCCCCCTCCTGCCACCAGACCGCCTGCGCAAGGAGGAGAAGGGCCGCCAGGAGCTGGAGAAGCTGAAGCGGCGGCTGGACGGGGAGAGCTCGGAGCTGCAGGAGCAGATGGTGGAGCAGCAGCAGCGTGCCGAGGAGCTGCGGGCCCAGCTGGGCCGCAAAGAGGAGGAGCTGCAGGCGGCTCTGCCCAGGTGAGGCCGCCAGGCTGGGTGGGCTGGGGAGGCAGAGGCCCACAGTGCTGGGGCCCAGGCAGACACTCCTGGGGCAAAGCCACTCATCAGCCATGGACCAGCCACACCCCTCTGGGCCTCAGTGTCCCTTTCTGCCAAATGGAGACAGCCAGAGTCCTGGCTCCTTGGGAGGGAAGGAAACCAGGCCTGTACCGTCCTTGCCCTCTGTGGGGTAGGAAGGTGCATTCGCCTTCTCGCCCTCAGCTCAGTCCATGCCACACCAGAGTCGGGCGCCTTGGCACATGGCCTGGCATGTTGAGTGACGCCGCGACTGTAACTCCCCTCGCCGCAGCACTGAGCCCCGTGCTGCACTCGGGCTCTGCTGCACGTGCAGGTGCTCCGTGCACCATGCAGAGATGTGGAAGAGGTGGTTCTCGCTGCGCGGCTGAGAACTGCTCCCCGAGTTGGACTTCTGCATTCACACCTGACTGCGCTCCTTCATGGCCATGTGACCTCATCCAGTGATGTCATCTCTTTAACCTCAGTTTCTTCATCTGTAAAATGGGAGTGGTTAGCAGTCCTCAAAAAGCTCCTGGGAAGGACCAGCAGGTGGCGTGGTGGTTAAGGCTCTGGACTCCAGTTCCAGACCTGCTGGCTTAAAACTTACTCCAGTGCAGGTGTTCCCAAAATCCTGAGAGGAAAATGGAAGAGAAGGGGTTGCGGTGTGGCCATCCCCCCTGGGGGTGATTTCTTGCTTTCCCTCTCACTGTCTCTGTCTCTCTGAAAAGCAAGCACACACACTATATGGCAACCTAAAAAAAAAACACACAATGAAGAAACTCAGTGTCAACTATGATTGCTGTCGCTGTCACGGTCGCTCCCGTCTCACAGCTACAGAAACAGGCTCTCAGTACTGGAGTCGAGCACTCAGTGGCCAAGCCAGGATTTGAACCTGTGGCTGGCCACCCTCAAAGCCTCTGGCCTCTGCCCCCAGAAGTCACTGCCTGTCCAACTCTCTGGTCCTTGTCACCCACAGGGTGGAAGATGAGGGCGGGGCCCGAGCCCAGCTGCTCAAATCCCTGCGTGAGGCACAAGCAGGCCTGGCCGAGGCCCAGGAGGACCTGGAGGCCGAGCGCGTAGCCAGGGCCAAGGCGGAGAAGCAGCGCCGGGACCTGGGCGAGGAGCTGGAGGCACTGCGGGGCGAGCTGGAGGACACGCTGGACTCCACCAACGCACAGCAGGAGCTCCGGTGAGGCCAGCGGAGTGCGGTGGGAGGGCTCGGGAAGAGGTCCCCGTTTACATAGATGCTGTCATTCAACAACTGCTTATTGAACACCAGCTCGGGGCCAGCCTGGGCCAAGCTGGGGACCAGGATGAGCCAGACCCAGGTGTTGACCTCGGGAGCACCCAGTCTCAGAGGACGCAGATTCAGACAGAGACGGACCCGATCCTGAGCGAAGGGCGTGTCAGTGGAGTAATGTGGGGCATCGTGAATATGCAGAGTAGGCCCCTAAACCAGGCGTGGGGAGGGGGTCCAAGAAGGCACCTTCCAGAGGCGCCTTTGAATCAGGTGTTGAAATGTGAGTAGTTCACCCTTAAAGCCACACCCCTCTTACAGCATCACCACCTAGGCCCTGTCCTTGGAGGAGACAAGAAAAGGAGGCACAACCAGTTGTCAGGGGCCCCTAACGTCCCCGTCCCCCTCTCATCTGAGATTCCATCTTCCTCCCTCCCCCACTGAAAGGTCCAAGAGGGAACAGGAGGTGACGGAGCTGAAGAAGGCTCTAGAGGAGGAGACGCGTGTTCACGAGGTGGCGGTGCAGGAGCTGAGGCAGCGCCATGGCCAGGCGCTGGGGGAGCTGGCGGAGCAGCTGGAGCAGGCGCGGAGGGTGGGTAGGGGCAGGGGCTCAGGAGCCTGCGGTGTGGGCGCTGCTGGGCCCGGGGAGGTACCTTGGCTGGTTCTAGGCTGGCCTGTGTCCCTGGGGCACTGTCCTCACTCGTTCAGTCCCTCTACTCACCCGTTGTTCAGCGTTAACTGAGCATGTACTGTGACCTGGAGCGCTGCGGGAACCGGCAGTCAGCCAGACAGCCGCCACCACCTCCCTGTGGGGTCACGCTTATGGGGAAGCAGAGAGCGGATGGTACAAACACCCTGATAACATGGCGTGGTGGTTAAAGGTGCTGGATTCCCACACGGACGTCTGCAGTTTGAGTCCTAGACCTGGCGGCTTGCTTTCTCACTTTCCCTTTCTCTTTCTGGTCAAATTTTAAAAATAATAATAACAAATGGAATTAAATAAATAATTCTTTAAAAAGAAGAAAAGGCACCCTGATAATAACCCGGGCAGCAGGTGCCGCGGGAAGGGACGGACAGGGAAGGGAGCACCAGGGTGCTAAGATGGGGGTGGGAATTCAGTGAGCCGCAGAGGAGTCTGTGGAAGGTCATGGCCGAGGGAAACGAGGAGGTGAGGTGAGCCATCTGAGCGTCAGAAGTGTGCTCCAAGTGAAGGAATGGCAGTGCAAAGGTCCTGAGGCGGGATGGTGTCCGGGTGTTCAAGGAGCAGCATGGAGTTCCAGGGGAACAGCCAGTGCACAGGCCCTGAGGCGGGAACGTGCCTAGGTGTTCAAGGAATAGCAAGACCCAGGTAGGAGTGTGCTGGCCTGGTGGAGGAAAGGATTCATTTTACTCATCTTCCTGTCCCAACAGGGCAAAAGTGCCTGGGAGAAGACCCGGCTGGCCCTGGAGGCCGAGGTGTCAGAGCTGCGGGCAGAGCTGAGCAACCTGCAGACTTCCCGCCAGGAGGGAGAGCAGCGGAGGCGCCGGCTGGAGTCCCAGCTGCAGGAGGTGCAGGGCCGCGCTGGTGATGGGGAGCGGGCACGAGCGGAGGCCACCGAGAAGCTGCAGCGAGCCCAGGTGAGTGGGACGGCCAGGGGTGGGGGGCTCCTCTGCTGTGTGACTTTGGGTGAGATGCCCGTTGTCCTGGCCAGCTCGTGCAACAGGACCACTCGTAAGTAACTAGCATTTTGGTGGGGGTTCATACATACCTAACATTCTTTGTGGGAAGAGCTAATGTTCCCACTTTATCCTCAAGGACACAGGCCCAGAGTAGAAAGCTGACTGCCTAAGGTCACTCCGAGCCAAAACTAGAAGCACGTACAGCTGATCCTTTGACACTTAACTTTGCCACAGACTTGTTTCCACTCTTATTCCCTGCCTTAGGATAATCTGTGGTCTGATTAGGAAAGCCTGGTGTGTGGGGCCAGCAGGCGACATGGTGGTTAAGGCACTGGACTCCCACATGGCTGACAGCGGTTTGAGTCCCAGACTTAGCAGCTTAAAAATCACACCAGGCGTGTGTGCGTGCTTGCCCCAAATCCCGATAGGAGAATGGAGGGGAGGGGATTACAGCGTGGCCATCCCCCCTGGGAGTGTGTGGTAATTTCTCACTTTCCCTCTATCTCTGTCTGTCTCTCTCTGGCAGGTGCATATGCTCTATGGCAAAAATCTAAAAAAAAAGAAAAAGTAGATATTCTATGACTCATTGGTATAAAAGTTCTAGGGAAAAAAAAAAAGAAAAGAAAGAAAAACCTGGTGTGACTATGAGCAGCTTTCAAAAAGTTCATGGAGGGCTGGCTCCATAGCCTAATTTAAGTCAGAGCCCACAAGACCAACTGGTTCGAATCCCAGCCCCAGTGGTTTGAAAAACACTCCAGGCACGTGTGTGCACACACATCCTAGATCCTGCTGGGATGGAGAACTGGAGAGGGATGTGGTGTGACCCTGCTCCCTCAGGGGCACTTCCTTCCTCTCTCTGTCTCTCTCTCTCTCGTGCACAATCTCTGGTGAAGAAAGTAAGTGAGAAAGCAGGAGTTCATTTCAGTAGATTTTAGTACTTTCAGAGTTTTACACATTGTCTGATTTTGTTTCAAATGTTTATTTTGTTCACAAGTCAGTGAGCAAGAGACAGAGAGGGAGAGACAGCACTCACAAAAGGGCTTTGACCAAGCCACCCCTGCCAGCCCTGGGTCAGGGGCACTCCCATGCCTAGTGTTCTTAGACCCGGAACCTTTCCGTGTGAGGCGTCCTCGCAGAGCACCCCATCTTACTGCTGCGCCACGCTCAGGCCTCCATAATCTAATCTGAGGCCATTTTCATTACCCCAAAAAGAAACCCTGTACTCCTTAGCCGTCACCCCAGCCTTCCTCGCACCCCACCCAGTCAGCCACTGGTCCCCTTTGGTCTCTGTGGCGTCCTGTTCTGGAGATCGGGCGGCCTCTGCGGCCTCGCTCTTTACTCAGCGTACACTCCCGAGGCTCAGCGTCGTGGCCCGTCAGTGCTGCGCTCCTTCTTGTTGCTGAGGATACCCGTTATCTGGCTCTACACGCTTGGTTGACCCATTCCTCCATGGATGGACTTCCGCTTCTTCCCAGCTTTCGGTGGCTTGGAGTAAGGCGGTTGTGAACATTCCTTTATGCGTTTTTGCCCAGACATACGTGGATACATGGCTGGGAGTGGAGTTGCTAGGTCCTATGGATACCCTGTTTAACCCCTTGTGGAGCTGCCAGACCGTTTTCCACAGCAGCTGCACCATTGACAGTCCCACAGCCATGCGTGGTAGGGATGTGAGGTGGAGGAGTGGAGGGGTCTCCTGGGTGGAAGCCGTAACCAGAGGGCTTCATCCAGCTGCCCTCCCCTGCAGGCTGAACTCGAGACTGTATCTGGGGCGCTGAGCGAAGCCGAGTCCAAAACCATCAGGCTGAGCAAGGAGCTGAGCAGCATGGAAGCCCAGCTGCACGACACCCAGGTGACCCCAGCCTGCCCTTTGACCCTACCATGACCCACCCACCCCACCTGCCCCCCGACTTTTTCCTGGCCACACTCAAGGCGGTGTTTGTCCCCTACATCTACAGGAGCTGCTGCAGGAGGAGACCAGGGCTAAGCTGGCCTTGGGGTCCCGGGTGCGAGCCTTGGAGGCTGAGGCGGGGGGTCTGCGAGAACAGCTGGAGGAGGAGGCGGCTGCCAGGGAGCGGGCGGGCCGCGAGCTGCAGAGCGCCCAGGCCCAGGTGAGCAGCCCTGAGCAAGACCTCCAGGGAGGCAGAGTCCGCTCCTCCTGGGCTCCCCAGCTGAGGTTCACCCACCGTCCAGGGCCCTGGGAGCCACTCTCACTCGCTGTCTCTCCTTTGTGCCCATAGCTTGTGCCCGGCCCGCCCTCTGCCCCCGACTGTGCCTCCTGTTCTCTGTCCCCTGTGCTCAGCTCGGGCCTCATCCTCTCCCACCCGGATCCTCCCTCAGCCTCCCATCCTCTGTCTGTCTCTTCCCTTCCAGCTCATCTGCCACACAGCTCTGGGGGACTCCACACCCAAGCTGCCCCTGTCACTCCCCTGCTCACAGCCTCCCATGGCTCCCCGGGACAGGGCCCGGCCTCTCAGCTGGGCTTAGGCCTGCATCCTCCAGGCCATCTTTGTCTTTAGCTACACACATCTTTCTCTGCTTCCTCATTTCACTTGAAAAAAATCCTTTCATTCTTCCGTACTTAGCATCAGCCTCCCCTGCTGTTGGGAGATTTTCCTGACCACCCTCTCTGTCCCAGCTGCAGTCACTTTGGGCAAGGACTGTCTCTGCCTGTAAGTCTTCCCACTAGATTGTGAGGCACCCCGAAGTAGAACCTCCTCAGAGTTAAGTCTGGGTCTTCAGCACAGCCCAACATAGAGCCTTGAGAAGAGCTCTGAGTTGAATGAATGAGTAAAGATTCATGCCTTCACGATCCTTGAACTGGCAAACTCCTATGCATACGTCAAGACCCATCTTAAAGGCCCTCATCCAGGAAGTCTCTCTTTAATGTCCATGGACTCCCTGTACTTTCTCTACCTTTACCTCTGTCAGCCTAATTGCAATGCGCAGTCTCCCCGTCAGACTGGAGGCTCCCCAGAGAACGGCCCAAGTCTGATTTGTCTCTGAATCCTGGAGGGAGTCATTTTAATCCCCTAGAAGAGTTTGGCCTCTAAAACCTCAACCCCACTCTGAGGCAGAAGAGCCCAGTGGACTCACTTCTTTTTCCCTCTTCAAGTCTCAGTCTCCCCATCTGGGAAATGGGGCACCAGCAGTTCATGCCTTTATCACTCATGGCCACAACTGCCACTCTTTCTCCTCCTGCCAGCTCTCAGAGTGGCGGCGGCGCCAGGAGGAGGAGGCAGGGGCCCTGGAGGCAGGGGAGGAGGCCCGGCGCCGGGCAGCCCGTGAAGCTGAGACCCTGACTCAACGCCTGGCAGAAAAGACCGAGGCAGTGGACCGGCTGGGGCGGGGCCGCCGCAGGCTGCAGCAGGAGCTGGATGATGTCACCGTGGACCTGGAGCAGCAGCGGCAGCTCGTGAGCACACTGGAGAAAAAGCAGCGCAAGTTCGACCAGGTGGGCCTCCTGTGGTCATTGCGAGGAAGCAGTGACATGCTACATCACAGTGCCACTGCTAAGCTGCCCCACACCAGAAGCAGAACTTCTTCCTGCTGGGCCCCTGGTGACGCCTCTTATCCCAGCATAACTATTGGTGGGGCCCCTCTTAGTTTCCATGCTGTCCTGGTTTGGATGGCGAAAGGTAGGAACACTCCCTCAGTACCCTACAGGTGCTGTGAGGATAACAAAATACACCTCTCATGTCTACACACTCACTGGCGACCTCAGGCAAGTGCTTTTCCCATCTCGGCCTCCGTTTAGCCATCTCAAAAACGGGGAAAAATAAAAGCATCTGGCAGCCTGAGGATGAAATAAAATCTAGGAATGCCAGAGAGTTAAGATCAGACAACCCTGAGGCTGGCAGGTGGTGTGGTGGTTAAGGGTGCTGGACTCCCACATGGCCAACCCCTGTTCTAGTCCCTGACCTGGCGGCTTGCTTTCTCACTTTCTTTCTCTCTCTTTCTCTCTCTCTCCCTCTCTCCCCATCTTAAAATAGATGAATAAATAAAGTAAATAAAATAATTTTTTTAAAAAAAAGATCAGACAATCCTAAAGTTCAAATCCCAGCTCAACCCCTTTCTGGCTGTGTGGCTTGGGCAAATTGTCAACCTCTCTGTGCCTAATTTTACTCATGTAAGAAATGCAAGGGGGAGATGCTATTTTGCTTTTTTGGAATATATCTTTACCAGATACGAATTCTAGATCAATAGTTGGCACTTTGAAAATGTCATTCCATTCTCCCTGGCTTCCGTTGTTTCTAATGAAAAGTTAGCGGTCATTCAAATCATTGTGGCCTGCAGCTAATGCAGTGTTTACCTTGCTGATTTAATCATTTTCTCGGGCCAGCCTGTGGTCTGGAGGTTAAGAGTGCTGGATCCCATATGGCCAACCATACTGTTAGTCCTGGACCCTGTGGGTTGAGGAACGCCAGGCACGTGTGTGTGCATGCCTAAAATCCCAGAAGGAAGGAGAAATGGAGAAGGAATTGTAACGTGATCATTTCCCATAGGGGATGCTTTCCCCTTTCTCTTACTGTCTGTCTCTCTGTGGTACCCTCTGGCCAAATTTAAAAAAAATAATAACAATTTTCTCTTTATCTTTAGCAGTTTGACTAGGGCATACCCAGCTGTGAGTTATTATATGTATCATGCTTCAGATTATCTGAGTTTCCTGCAGTACTTGATGTTTTTGATCTAATGTAAACATTTTCAGCCATTATTTCTTCAAGTTTTTGTTGTTTTTTGGTTTTTGGGTTTTTTTTTCTGTCTCTCTCTCTCTCTCTCTCTCTTCTTCTGGGCCTTCAAATACATGCATATTTGCTTAATATAGCTCAATATGTCTGAGGCTCTTAATTTTGTCTTGCATCTTCTAGAACTTTGTATAGTTTTTTTTAATGTAAATCTCTTTTTTGATTGGCTTGTTTTACTCATAGTAATTATCTTGAAAGTCATCCATGTTTTCACATGTCTCACTAATTCATTCCTTTATTTTATTTATTTTTTTTGAGAGGTTTTTTGCTATAGGGTGCGTGCGCTCGCCAGACAGACAGAGACAGACAGAGAGACAGAAAGCGAGAAATCACCCCCTAGGGGGGATGGCCACACCGCAATTCCTTCTCCTCCATTCTCCTCTCGGGATCTTGGGCACACACGCACACGCGCCCGGCGTGAGTTTTAAGCCACCGGGTCCAGGACTCGAACCGCGGTCGACTACATGGGAGTCCAGCAACATAGCCATTACGCTAACTGCTGGTCCCCATTCATTCTTTTTCCACTGCTGAGAATTACTCCTGTGTAGATAAACCATAGTTTGCTGTGATGGGCATCTGACCACCAATGCCAAGCATCTGTTATGTGCCCATTGGCCAGCCATTGTCCTCTTTGGTGAAGTGGCTGTTTAGCTCTTTTACCCATTTATTTTTTCAATGAGGTTGTTTGTTTTTTTATTATTGAATATTGAGAGTACTTGGTATGTTCTGAATAGAAGTTCTTTATTAGATATTTGTTTTGAAAATATTTTCATCTAGTTCATGGCTTGTCTTTTCATTATCTTAACTTAATAGAGCCTTTTAAAGAGCATGAGTTTTTTATTTTGATGAAGTCTACTAGTTTGTTCATTTATGGATTATGCTTTGGGAGTTGCATAGAAGAATCTTTGCCTAATTCAAGGTCACGACGGTTTCTCCAGTACTTTTTTTTTTAAGGGAGAGATTTTTGCTATAGGGTACATGTGCTCGCCAGAGAGAGACAGTGAGATAGAAAGTGAGAAATAACTCCCCAAGGGGGATGGCCACACTGCAATCCCTTCTCCTTTATTTTCCTCCCAGTATCCTGTGCGTGTACACACACACACACACACGCCCAGCATGAGTTTAAATCTCCCAAGTCAAGGACGGAAACCATGATCAACTGTGTGGGAGTTCAGTGACATAACTATTATGCCATTTGCTGATCCCTTCGGTATTTTGTTCTAGAAGTTTTCTAGTATTAGATTTACATTTAGGCCTATGATCCATTCCAGGTTAATTTTTATATATGATGCTATTTTGTCTCCAAGGTGGTTTCTGTAAATACAGAAATCCAGTTGTTCCAACACTATTGTTCTCTGCTGACTAGTTTTTTCCACATATATTGAAAAACAAATAGTATTAGTTGCTTTTTCTTCTTCTTTTTTTTTTTTAGAGGTTTTTGCTATAGGGCGCGTGCGCTCGCCAGACAGAGACAGAGAGACAGAAAGCAGGAAATCACCCCCCAGGGGGGATGGCCACGCCGCAATCCCTTCTCCTCCATTCTCCTCTCGGGATCTTGGGCACGCACGCACACGCACCCGGCGTGAGTTTAAGCCACCGGATCTGGGACTCGAACCGCAGTCGACTACGTGGGAGTCCAGCGACATAGCCATTACACGAACTGCTGGTCCCGCTTTTTCTTCTTTTTTTAGAATTATTTTATTTTACTTTGTTATTGTCTTTTTTTTTTTTTTTTTAATTTGACCAGAGAGAGACAGGAGACAGAGAGGAAAAGCAAGAAAGCACGTGACCAGATCAGGGACTCAAACTGCAGTAGGCAATGAGGAGTCCAGCCCCTAACCACCACATTACCTGTCAGCTCCCCCTATTTCTTCCTTGACTGGCAGGTGGCATGGCAGTTAATGGCACTGGACACCTTTGTGGCTGACCACGGTTAGAGCCCCAGACCTGGTAGCTTGCTTGCTCTCTTTCCGGTCAAATTTAAATAAATAAATAAATAAATAAATAAAGTTAAATTTTTAAAAAATATTGTTTTGTCTCTTCTGGATTCTTTGCTTTTTTTTGTAATAGATTTTTGCTATAGTGTATGTGTGCTTGTCGGAGAGAGAGAGAAAGAAAGTGAAAAATCACCCCTCCTTGGGGATGGTCACACTACAGTTCCTCCTCCACAAGTACACATATGTCGGGCATGTATCAAGCCACATGTCCAGGACTCGAACCACAGTCAGCCAGGTGGGAATCCAGTGCCTTAACCACCATGCCACCTGCTGGTCCTTGTTTTGTGCATTTTAATATGTATTTTAGAATCAGTTTGTCAATTTCTTTAAAAATAATTTTAAAAAATCCTCCTGATTTGGGACTGTTGAATCTATGGATCAATTTTGGAAGAATAGATATACTCTAATGACTAATACTGAATTTTCTCACTCAAAAACATGATTTATATGTCTAAGTATTTATATATTTTTAATGTATCTCAGAAATTTTTTTCATTTTCAGTATACATCTTTTACATCTTTTGTTCGATTTATGAATATTTTATGGTTTTGATTTTTAAGTGATATGGTTTTATTTTTACTTCTGATCACTGGTTTGTACAAATGCAGTTGACTTTGTATTGCATCCTATAATCTTGGCTAAACTCACTAACTTAATATTTTTAAATAGATTTCACTGAATTTTCTACATAGATGATCATATTTTCAGTGACCATACAGTTTTACTTATTTTGCTCTTTCTTTACTTTTGTTCTGGGACTCTAAATACATGCATACTTGCTTCATAATCTCTCATAGGTTATTCAAGCTCTGTCATTTTTTTTAACAATTTTTTTCTTTCTTTGCTCTGCTTGGACCATTTCTATTGGCCTGTCCTTGAGTTTACTGATTCTTCTGATATGTCCAGTCTGCCGTCAGTTTTATTCAATGACTTTTTCAAATTCAGATATCACATTTTTAAGTTGGAGTATTTTTTCTAAATATTTATTTTTTGCTATAGGATGTATGTGCTTGCTGGAGAGACAAAGACACAGAAAGCAAGAAATCACCCCCCAGGGGGTTGACCACACCACAATCCCCTCTCCTCCAGTCTCCTCTCTGGATCCTGGGCGTGTATACACATGCACCCAGTGTGAGGTTTTTTGTTTTTGTTTTTTTTTTTTTTGAGAGATTTTCACTGTAGGGCGCGTGCGCTCGCCAGACAGACAGAGAGAGATATAGAGACAGAAAGTGAGAAATCACCCCCCAGGGGGGATGGTCACACCGCAATCCCTTCTCCTCCATTCTCCTCTCGGGATCTTGGGCACGCACGCACACGCGCCCAGCGTGAGTTTTAAGCCACCAGGTCCGGGACACGAACCGCGGTCGACTACGTGGGAGTCCAGCGACATAGCCATTACGCTAACTGCTGGTTCCCCACCCAGTGTGATTTTCAAACCACTAGGTCTAGGACTCAAGCCACGGTCAGCCACACAGAGTCCAGCAGCGTAACCATTACACCATCTGCTGGTCCCAAGTTGGAGCATTTCTTTTTTAAAAAAATAATTATTTATTTAATTTTATTAATTACTTCATTTATTTTAATTTGAACAGAGAAAGACAGACACACAGAGAGAAGGAAAGTGAGAAAGCAAGCTACCAGGTCCAGGACTCGAACCATGGTCAGCCATGTGGGAGTGTCCAGTGCCTTAACCACCACGCCACTTGCTGGCCCCCATCAAACTGGAGCATTTCTATATGGTTCTATTTTATAGTATCAAATCTATCCTGAAATAATCCTGTCTCTTCACCTGTTATATCCACCTTATTCTGGAACTAACTTATAATAAGGGTCCTGTGCAATCCCAGTATGTCGGTCATATCGGGCTTGTTCCTGTTGACTGGTTTTCCTCTTCACTGAGTCCTATTCTCTTCTTTCTTTCCGTGTCTTATATGTTTAGCTGTTTGCCAATTACTGTGTCTTTACAAACAAAACAAAACAGTAAAGGTTGAGGGCCATTTAAAAAATTCATATAAATATTTGTTTTTAAAGAATTATTTATTTATTTAATTCCATTTGTTATTATTATTTTTTAATTTGACCTGATAGGGACAGAGAGAGAAAAAGGAAAAGCAAAAAAGCAAGCCTCCAGGTCTGGGACTTGAACCATGATCGGCCATGTAGGAATCCAGTGCCTTTAACCACCACACCACCTGCCTGCCCCTCATATAGATATTTTTCTTCCACCTTCCCAAAGGAATGAAACACACCTCCCTCTGCTTCTTACATAGAGTGAGGGACTGGTTGATTGATGCTTTCAAGAACCAAACTGCTTTGGGGCATGGTTGCAACTTGAATCCCTCTTCCTCCCTCTTGTGTCTCTGCCTTTGTCTGTCTCTTTGTCTCTCTCTTTTCCGGGTTGCTCTATCTTCTCCATGCCCTTTAGCTAATCTATTTCTCCCTACCCCGCCTTCTTCAACCTGGAAGCTCCTGGCAGAGGAAAAGGCAGCTGTCCTGCGGGCAGTGGAGGAACGTGAGCGGGTCGAGGCAGAGGGCCGGGAGCGTGAAGCTCGGGCCCTGTCCCTGACACGAGCGCTGGAGGAGGAGCAGGAGGCACGTGAGGAGCTGGAGCGACAGAACCGGGCGCTGCGGGCTGAGCTGGAGGCACTGCTGAGCAGCAAGGACGACGTCGGCAAGAGCGTGAGCAGGGACCCCCACCCCCATCCTGAACACATGTGGGCTCCCTCGTGCATATACTTGATGAGAGGAGGGACGTACACACGCATGCTCTCACACACACGGCCCTCAGAGCCGCATGTTCATACACAGAACAAGAGAGCACGCATGCTCTCACACACACGGCCCTCAGAGCCGCATGTTCATACACAGAACAAGAGGAGAGCGTCTCACCAGGCATACATGGGGTCTTCAGAAAATTTGCAGAAAATATGCATTATGAAAACACTATGCATGAGTTTAAAAAGTTTTTGCACCAAAATAAACTTGTACCTTAGTTCCATTTTTCCAAAGACTTAAAAGTACCCTCATACACCCTCACATACATATACACAGAGTATGAGGAGAACCTTCCACCAAATCTGCATGTTCACGCAGAAAGGAACGTGGTCCATTCATGAGAGATACGTGTTTATGTCTGCATACATAGGACATGAGGGGAATCTTCCATCAAACATACATGTTCATATGCAGAACGTGAGAGCTGCTCACAAAGCATCCATGCTCACATTCACACACATGGAGTATGAGTAGAACCTCCAGTAAACATACTTGTTCACATGTATGCACACAGTGTGAGAAGAATGAGTCATGCGTGAAGATGTTCAGGAAGAGAGAAAACGTGGAGAGGAGATGACAACACAGCCTGAGAGCCTCTACAGGAGGCAGGCACACATTCACGGTGCGCACACACACACACACACACACACACACACACGCACACACACCGTTTGTCGGCTCCCCACCTTGCCTAACCCCGAGGCCACTGAGCATGCCCTGGCTCCCCTCCCAGGCCTCTGTTTCCGCCAACTCGTGCATGCCGCCAGGGCCTGTAGAGGGGTGCTCCCCTCACCTAGTGGCCCAGCCCTCTGAAAGATCAGAATGGTCCACATTCTTTCTTCATTCGTCCACTGAATACAATTATGGAGCACCAGCCAGGACAGAGCAGGGACACGGGCCGCCGTCACACAACAGGAGGCGCCAGCAGAACCCGTGTTTGGTCGAGTTCCTGAGTAGACAGCCTCCCTCCCTCTTTTCCAGCCAGAGTACTCTGGGGTGCAACAGATGTGGCTCTCTCTCCACTGATGGACAGTCCAGCAAGAACGCCCCCTTCTGACATGTCTCTAGCCCACTGAGATAAAACCCCCAGTTCACACATGAACCGTTTCCAAAGTAACCATTACTATTACTTGGGAAAAACTTCTCAAGTTACTTGTAGTGACTCCAAAGGCCTTTGTGAGAAATAGAATGTGGATGAGAGAAAGTGCGATCTCCTCAGGTAAACACAGTTAGTCAGCAGGTGCCAAATAGGGAGGGCTCCTTCCAAGGGCTGAAAGTAGATGCTGTCACCAACCAACATTTTTTTTTTTTTGAGAAATTTTCATTATAGGGCATGTACATGCAGCAGAAAGACAGAGAGAGACAGGGAGACAGCGAGAAATCACCCCCTGGGGGGATAGCCACACCGCAATCCCCTCTCCTCCATTCTCTTGGGATCTTGGGCACGCACGCACATGTGCCCAGCGTGAGTTTAAGCCACCGGGTCCAGGACTCAAACTGTAGTTGATTACATGGGAGTCCAGCGACATAGCCATTGCACCAACTGCTGGTCCCACCAACCAACATTTTAATGAGGGTCCCTTGGGCAGCG